CCCCCAAAACCCCAAAACCCCAAAACCCCTTTCCTCTCACTAAAGATTGAATGAAGTGTCTTAAAGGATTTCCTACCATGAAAAGCCTATATATCTTCAAAAATCTCCTTATTGCACCAATAATTAAAATGTTAAAACAATCCTTGCTGATCCTCTTCATTCTCACAATAATCTACCTTTTGGATACCAGTCAGAGTATGACACTGGCTAAAGTTGCAGCAGGAGCTGCAACTGTTTCAGCCATGCTGTGATGGTACCAAAGCATCCAGAATAAGAAAGAGAGGAAGGCTATTTTTAGAAAGATTAGAGTAATTTTGAATTTTAAAGAAGAATTTTAACTCTTAAATAGGAACTTACTGCACTTCTGAAGGATAAAAATGGGAGATTTATGGAGAAATGACTGTCGTCATCTCCAGAATTAATCAGGAATATCGAGATGTATTCGAATTATACCCTTCTGATAGCCTCAGTGTGATTCCAAGGCTATGAAGAAGCAAAATTTTTGATAGAAAAGATGAAAATAGACGTTAATGAGAAAGCAAGAAATGGAGAAACAGCTCTTATTAGAGCTGTCCAAGTGAATGATTCTAAGATGGTACAGCTTTTGCTAAATGCAGGAGCCAGTATTGAGCTAAGGTAAGTTGAAGCAGTAATATTCAATAGAACAAAGCAGGAAATTAGCGCCCTGATTGTCGCTATTACTCATAACAGACCCATTTTAGTTGACCTTCTATTGAAATATGGAGCTTGAATTAACACCAAGACTATCAACAAGGTATATTTACCTAAATAAGATCTAGGGTGTTCAATCGATGATTGATAATTGCTCAGAAGAAATCAAAACAGTGATATCATTCCATAAAGGTACCTTTATTGTTCATGATTTATAGCTTGGAGACGCAAGAAAAATATGCTTAAAATCTTAGATGCTCAGTCTCAGAAAAAAGAAGAATCTGGGCTATCAGAGAAAGATGATTTAATCAAAGATCCTCTAGAAACTTTAAACAGAAAAGCAGACTTATTCAAATCTATTATTAGGGACTTTATGTAAGCTTTCAATGCTCACCATGTCAATGGGGTTTTGGGGTTTTGGGGTTTTGGGGTTTTGGGGTTTTGGGGTTTTGGGG